CGGCCAAACACGGAGCGGCGTCAGCCCCACGGCGCAGGGCGAGCAAGTCCCTGCGCCAGGATAACCACTAACGCTCCCGAGGGCAGAGCGGGTTTACGGGCGTTCCTGCAGGTGAAGGCAGTCCTGGACGAGATCATCGAGAAGCTGCCGGAGCCCTTCAACATAGCAGAGATCATGGCCAAGGCAGTGGATAAGACGCCCTACGTCGTGGTGGCCTTCCAGGAATGTGAAAGAATGAACATCCTAACCCACGAGATCAGGCGCTCCTTGAAGGAGCTGAATTTGGGGCTGAAGGTGGGTGCCAGGGCCGGCGGCTCCTCTCCCAGGCAGGCATCGCCCGTGCCCTGTGCTGGCCCGGGGGAACCGAGGCCGAGCGCCCCGCGGGTCCCGCTCGCTCCATCCTCCCGTTACAGGGCGAGCTGACCATCACGTCGGACATGGAGGAGCTGGCCAACGCGCTCTTCTACGACAGCGTGCCCGAGTCCTGGACGCACTTCGCCTACCCCTCGCTCCTGGGCCTGGGCGCCTGGTACACCGACCTGCTGCTCCGCATCCGGGTGAGCCGATTGCATTCGCTTTTGCATTAACGTTGAGGCGGGTGGCAGAGGCCACACAAGACCAGGAACCACCCCGCAGTGTAGAGTGCTAAACTGCTTTATTTGTCAGTGTTAACTACTTGAAACGACCCGTTACCACAAGAACAAAAGCAGAAGTGTGAAAAGAAGGGTTCACCATTAGCGTAAATCGCCCTTTAAAAGCAGCATTCAGATAATCTAATCGTGTAACTTTAAATGTCTCAAAAAGATGACATTTACTGAAGCCCTGTATTGAAAGCTCAGCCCTGTTAAAACCCTAAAAGCAGCCTAAGAACATTTACAGCAACCCAGAGTAAGAGCCTCGGGCCAGGGCTGCCTTCCCTCATCCCCGGGACATCCCCTCTGCCCTCTCCTTTTGCAGGAGCTGGAGGTCTGGACCACGGACTTCGTGCTGCCCGCGACCGTGTGGCTGGCGGGATTCTTTAATCCCCAGTCCTTTCTCACTGCCATCATGCAGTCTATGGCTCGAAAAAACGAGTGGCCACTGGACAAGATGTGTCTCTCGGTGGAAGTGACCAAGAAACACCGCGAGGATATGACAGCTCCCCCTCGAGAAGGCTCCTACGTACACGGATTATTCATGGAAGGTAAAAGATGCAGCCTTTTAGGAGATGTTTCAGGCAGAGAAAGTCCAGGTGAGCCTTAAAAAAAATCCTGTAAATGGAGCAAGCATTAGTATTGGAAACTCACTAAATTAGGATCTATACAGACTTTGCAAAGGCTCCAAGAAGTGAGACCATTTTAAAAAGTATTAGAGTCTTGGTTTATCAGTTCCTGTCTTAGCAAAGCAGCAGTTTAAGCTTCTCTCTTGTTGCTGAAGGGGTTGGTTTTCCTGCACAAACACGGCTGCTTGGGCAGGGTGTCTCCCTCCTTCCTCCTCGGCTCCTCTCCATCCCGGCTGCAGTTCGCCCTGGGAATGCCCTGGGAATGGGCTGCGTCTCCCCGCGGCCCCGCGGCGGCCGCCCGAGGGCAGCAGCTGCACGAGCTCCTTCCCAAACCAGAAACTGCTTTCGTGAAACCCCGACCGCAAAAGGGGCCGAGGACGGGGTGGTTTGAAGCTACACAGAGCAGTGAACAGATATGCTTTTATTTGATGTGTGAATAAGATAAAGCAGAAAACTTAAACTCCCAAAGAATTCCTGTTAAAACAAAGCAAAAAGAGAGGGGAAATGAGACAGAGCCCCAGGAGGGTCCAGTTAAAGCAAGAGCAGAGACCAGAGCGCGTTTTTTACTGCAGTTCTCCCTGCAGCCAAAGGCTGCTCTTGGCTGCACAACTTCCATGCAAAGCGGGGCAGCAGGGAGGAGCGGGATCACCCTGGGTACCCACCACGGAGCAGGGCCCGTGCAGCCGCAGGGCCCCGGGGGGACGGTGCCGTGTCGGCCCTAGAGGGATGCCAGGCCCTGCCCTCCTTCCCCCGGTCCCGCCGCCCTGACGGTCCCGTCCGCCGCAGGCGCTCGCTGGGACATCCCCTCCGGAGCCATCGCCGACGCGCGCCTGAAGGAGCTGACGCCCATGATGCCGGTCATCTTCATCAGAGCCATCCCCGTGGACCGCATGGACACCAAGAACATCTACGAATGCCCCGTCTACAAGACGCGGATGCGGGGTCCCACCTACGTCTGGACCTTCAACCTGAAGACGAAAGAGAAGGCAGCCAAGTGGATTCTTGCCGCTGTGGCTCTGCTCCTGCAGATCTAGGGTTCCACCAACTGCTTCCACCCCGGGGAATAAAGGTGCTTTACTGAGACCAAGGCTGTCTGTCCCAGAGCTGTTTTGCAGAGCGCCGCTGCTCCTCCCGTGGTGCTCAGAGCTACCCATGATGGAGGCTGCTCTGGGGATAGAGCGCTGGGCCGGGGCCAGACCACCAAAGGAAGGGCTAAAGGAAGCCCAGGAGAGCACCTGCCTGCAGCCACCTGCATTCCTGTCCTCAGAGCTCTGCCTGCTCACGGCTGCAGCTGTGATAGGAATCACGGAGCCGCGGCACTGAGCGCCGCTGCACGGAGACCCCCAGACAAGGGGCGAACGGGAGCGCAGCCGCGTCTCCACCGGGCAGCACGGACACAGGTGAGTCCTGCGGACCTTGCAGCGCTCACCCTGATCCCACAGGGAAGCCTCTTCCTCCCCGGGGTTTGCCTGGTCACAGCTGACTCACCTCCACCCCGACGCGTGCGATTTCAAATCCACGTTACCCCCTGCCCCGTTTCTTCTCTCTCAACCCAGCAGCACCAACTCAAGGGAGACTAGAGCTGCTCTGGCCGCCACACGGGAGCCAGCGACTGTTCCTTTTGCATTAAGCATTGCCCTAAAATCCTCCCATACCGCAGAGCATGTGAACAACCACTTCCAAAAGAGACAACTGCGCCAGCCTGCCCTGACTGCTGGGGGAGCTTCTGCAAAACACACACACAGAGAAGCAGGTAGAGCTGCTTGTTTCTTTCTAAGGCAGTAACGTTTTGAATGAATCGCCATCTAGCCCTACACTTACCTTCAGCCTTGTCAAGCGCTAGAAATCCCCATTGCTGGCAACAAAAGAGCAGCAGGGCAGCATTTGTGGGGTAGAGCAAAGTGCTCTCAACAGGCCACACTCCAGCAAGGAGCAGCATCTCGCACAGGGCATATTGCCATCTCCCCACCGTGCCCCTCACACTCCCCATTGCTCATAAGCTAACAGACAGCAGAACATTTTGAGGACTTTCACAGTATTTTCCGTTAGCTGCTCAAGATAAAATACACACTGACTCTTTCCCCAACATTTTGGGAGGGACATTTGAGAAGTGGAAGTGTTACTTCTATACATGAGAAATACCCTGCATTTGTTCTGTCATTGCCCTTTCCAGAAACGTTAGCAGACTAAGAGCAATACAGAGCTCAAGCAATGACTAGTTCAAGTGCCAAGTTCCCCATTTAAAAAAAAAAAAAAAAAAAGATGCTCAATTTTTCAACATCTTTTTCCGTCATATAATTTTTCCACATCACAGAAAAGGGCACTGCACTAATAAAATACATCTCTATATAAATCCCCCCAAAAACATGACCAAAAAAAAAAAACCCACTCACCCAAATCAGTAGCATTTCTTCTTTCAAAAGAAATTCTTAATCAGAGGCGTCACCAGCTTCACCCACAGTTTCACATGGCGATTGGGCTGCTCAAAGGTTGAGGATGACACTATGCCCGAGCAGAGGTAAAGCTGCTCCTGCTCCTAGAAAAGGAAAGGAATTCCCTCCGCGTAAATGCTAAGACCTGAACTTAGGTTTTTCCTGACGTAATGGCCTTTAGGAAAAGGCCCTCCCGGGATGAAGCTGGCGGTGCTGCCAGCAGGACGCAGCCCTGTCCGGGCGCAGGAGCCGCTTCCCGCGCGGCCGCCCAGGCGCTCCCGGCGCCTCCGACCCACGGAACCGGCGATCTAAACCCCGCACAGCGCCGAGCTGGACAATTCGGGCTCTTTTCCTGCTCTACATAAATTCCGGAGCTAAACTTGAGCCTCAGAAAAATCCTGATCCCTCGTTGCAATTGTGGGAAAGGAAGCCCCATTCTAACCCGGGCGCCTGCGTTAGGTGGCTCGTTCTAGACACAGCTCGAGCGCTCTGGTTCCACATGAACCCGCTGTCACGACTTCCAAATCCCCCAGAGCACGGAGGTGTCCCCGCACGCGGTGTCCTGCCGTGCTCTGCCCGTGCCTTGTCCCAGCCGAGCGGTCCCAGGCAGCCAAACCAACCCTGCACCTCAACACTGAGGGCAGAGGAGGGGAGCAGGCACTGAGCACCGCAAAGGAGCGGTGCACAGACCAACCCGGGCCAAAAAGATGATGTTTGGGGTCAAATCAGTCTGATTTGACAACCCCAACGTTTCCACAGCACCACTGCAAAGACCCCGCATGGTATCAACCTGCACGGAGCTGGTCTCGCTGATGCATGTTTCCACAGCTACGGCCAGCACTGCTGCAAAGACCCCGTGTGGTGTCAGCCTGCACGGAGCTGGTCTCGCTGATGCACAGGGAAGGGCAGGGATTTAACGGAACACATTCAGTTTGTTCAGGTAAGCAGCCTAGGATATCCACTGAAAACCTCCAAACTGCCTGCAAATCTTACAAACTTCTTCAAAGGGACCTGACCATCCTGCAGGCAAAGTGACTCCATGGGAGTGTACAGGTTTGTTATGAAGGAGTGGCTGTTTCATGCTATCTGAAAAACTGAAAGCTCAGTTACTACCAAGAAGGCTAAAACTTAAAGGCTCAAAAAGAAAACCAGAATGGAAGCTCAGAATGTACTCTTATATGTCATGATTCTTTGTAATCTGACCACTGGAAAAACCTAAATATTTAGGCAGTTTATAGGGCTGGAATGACATTTCGGGGCACTGCTGAATGGGGCCCTGTCTGCCTCGAGGAAACCTGCAGCTCTCGAGGAGGCTTCTCTGCCTGGGCAGAAAATGAGAGTCTGAACAAAGCTCCCAGAGGGGTAAGGGACAGGCAGCCTCAGAGGCAGCTCCAGCAAATGCACTAGTTGAAAGTCCTCTCATTTAGATCACTCCAGGCTGTTGGACAAAATTCCTCTGTCATATTTTCATTGATTCTCCCCTTCCATTAGGAACAAGTAGAGGCAAGATATGAATTGAAATATTCAAGCAACTCTTCCAGTAATAGAATTGTTTTTGATAAGATACGGTCTGACTCATTCAGCGGGAGAGCCCTGATGCAAGAGGGCAATTCCCATTGATCCTGAAGACAGCCGAGCCAGGACGCAGTACAACGCAACACATTTTTCAGATTCTTAATGACAGACACGAGGATTCGGAGCTAGGAGGGCTGGGGAAGCAGTCAGGGCTTATGGAAGCAGCTCGAGCACTGCACAGGACTAATCACAACTGAACCCTGATAATTGGTGTGCCTCGTGTCCCAGCCCAGTGTCACCTGGGCACAGCCAGGCCCAGGGCCACGGCATCGTGCAAGGAGCAAAGTGGTGGCAGCTCCGGGCACCCAGCGCCGCGCGCCCGGCACCGGGTTCACCGGGGACACGTGTTCCTTCCCGTCACGGCTGCCACTTCCCAGAAACAGGCTCATGCAGCGGGCAGCTCATCAATAGTCACTTAACTGACAGCTCCTTGAGGCCTCCTGTGCTCGAGGAGGTTTCGCGTTATTGGAGCTGTAGGTTTTTATTGCAGCTGCATCATCGTCATCCCTTGTGTGACCGAGGAGCACAACAGCCACTCGCTTACCTGGTGGAGCTGCTGCTGCAGAGCTTTGTTCTCTGTCACTATTGCAACCTGAGCTTCCAGGTCCCGATGAACGGAGCGATATCCGAAATTGGGAGAGCCGATCAGCGTGAGGCAGGGAAGGCTGCTCCCTGCCAGGTAGAGCCAGAGGCCTGCAGGAAAAACGGGAGAAGAGAGGAAGTGCTACGGCAAAGGAAACGCAGCGGGGCTCAAACAATTGCCCTTGGCTAGAAGGAATGAGTGGAGGATTTACAGTAACTGCCTCCGGCCGTGGCCAGATGGGCGGCCAGCAGCACGTGTCCCTGGGCCAGCGTGCCCACGTGCCACGTCGCGGAGCCCGAGCTGGGCTGGCAGCGCGTGCACGCCACGGCCGACACGTCCTGCACTGCACAGACTCCCCGGGCTCAGAGCGAGGTGCCCCAGCCGCAGAGGTCATTCTGCACCGGGATGTCATGGACACACCGAAACGGGACACTGCTGTGGGCCATCCCGCAAGGTGGAGAAAGCCCAGGCCAAGCGAGGGCGAGACCAGCGAGGAGCAGCCCGCCACGGGCAGAGCTGCAGCAAGAGCGGTGCCCGGGGACCAAGCCCTTCCCAGGGGACACGAGGAGGCTCCCCGTGCCCGGGCACTGCAGCAAGCGCAGGGCCTTGCTACGGTGCCAGGACACCAACCCGGCGCTGCTGCTGCTGCCACGCGGAGGGTGCCAGGTCCCAGGAGCTCCCCACGGCGCTTCACGCAGCCCAGCAGTGGCAGCGCCCAAGCCCGTGGTGGGACAAGAGGGGCAGGAGAGGCCCTGCTGGCACTGCTGCCTTGGCACGGGGCCACCAAGCACCCGGGCACGGCCCCGCGCGACTCGCACAAGGGCTCCA